TTATATATTAATATTTTTTGTTTGTTTATTTAAATTTGTGAATTCTGCAAATTGTCCTACTGGCTAGTATGTGATTGAGATTGTGATGTTTTCTATTTTTAGATATTTCCATGTGAAACATTTAGAGAAGTAATACTGCACATCTTTCAAGCAGTCAGTGACCTTATCTTTTGCCAAAATCAGATGACATTCAATACTGATACTATGGAGAGAGGAATCAAAATAGGCACCTAATTATAACCCCCCCCCCCCCCATCATTATATCACTACGTGCAGAACAACTGATTTTTAAGAGATCATACAACTGCTGGATTTTGGCAGGTACAAAAGGTTTTTTTCTTTGCTTCCCTCCCCCTCATCCCCCTTCTTGCTTTCATCACATGTAGGATTTATTAGAACAGTTCAGACTGACCTCTTTCTTGAAAGATTTAGTTCGAATTTTAATAGTTTATAGGAAATAGTAGAAGTGAAAGAAAGTTAATAAGTTTATGATTGCTTCATATTTTCAGTAATCCTTAACATTTATGGTGCAGTTCAGTTGTTAAGAGAGTAAGGATAGTTTTGGGGAAATGACTATAAAAGTTTGGACCAAATACTATACAGTTAGCTTCCAGAGTTACTGCTTTTGGAATAAAATCAACTGTGAACAACATGAAGGCAGAGACTATATCTTCTTAACTATTCTGACCTAGTACACAGTACTGTGCCTTGCACATAATAGTTAGAAGTTATTGAAATAGCAAAGGAAGATAGGATGGGAGGGAAGAAGGAGAGTCAAAATCCTAAGTTGATTGGACAAAGTGATAAATTCCATGTTTTCCTGTTGCGTTTTTTTTGGCTGACATACTGCTCTCCTAGACCCGTGGTTCGGCAAACTGCGGCTCGCGAGCCACATGCAGCTCTTTGGCCCCTTGAGTGTGGCTCTTCCTAAGCCTTAGGAGTACCCTAATTAAGTTAATAACAATGTACCTACCTATATAGTTTAAGTTTAAAAAATTTGGCTCTCAAAAGAAATTTCAATCGTTGTACTGTTGATATTTGGCTCTGTTGACTAATGAGTTTGCCGACTACTGTTAGACCAATAATAGGCATATGATTTTTAACAGAGCACGAACATAGTATGACTTTGAGAACCTTTCAACGTATTTTTTATTGATTTGAGAGAGAGTGAGTTCCCCAGTCTTCCTCCCCTCTGATAGCTGTCAGTCTATTCCATGTATCCATGCCCCTGTTTCTATTTTGTTCCTTAGTTTATTTTATCATTAGATTCTACATATGAAAGAGATCATATGGTTTTTGTCTTTCTCCGACTGGCGTATTTTACTTAGCATAATAGTCTCCAGGTCCATCATTGCTGTCACAAAAGGTAAAAGTTCCTTTCCCCCCCATGGCTGAATAGTATTCCATTGTGTAAATGTACCACAGCTTTTTTATCCACACATTTACTGGTGGGCACTTGGACTATTTCCAGAGCTTGGCTATTGTAAATAATGCTGCAATGAACATAGGGATGCATATATCTTTGTTCTTCTTTCTCAAGATTGATAAGGCTATTTGGGGCCTTTTTTGGTTCCATGTAAATTTTTGGGATATTTGTTCTAGATCTATGAAATATACCATTGGTATTTTAATAGAAATTGCATTGAATCTATAGATTGCTTTGGGTAGTATGGACATTTTAATGATGTTAATTCTTCCAGGCAATGAACACCGTATATGTGAAGCACATTTTTAAATAGCTGTTATAACATTTTTGTAATGAAAGATGATGTTGAACATATTTTTATGTGCATATTGGCCATTTGTATATATTCTTTGGGAAATATCTATTCAAATCTTTTGCTAATTATAAAATTGGTTGCCTTTTTATTGTTGTTAGAGCTCTTCATGTATTATGGGTACTAAAACCTTATTAGATATATGATTTGATAATATTTTTCCCTTTTGTAAGTTTTGCTTTCTTTTTTAAAAAAAATATATTTTATTGATTTTTCACAGAGAGGAAGGGAGAGGGATAGAGAGTTAGAAACATCAATGAGAGAGAAACATCGATCAGCTGCCTCTTGCATACCCCCGACTGGGGATGTGCCTGCAACCAAGGTACATGCCCTTGGCCGGAATCGAACCCGGGACCCTTCAGCCCGCAGGGCGACGCTCTATCCACTGAGCCAAACCGGTCAGGGCAAGTTTTGCTTTCTTGATAGTATCCTTTGATACACAAATATTTTAGTTTTGATGAAGTCCAATGTATCTATTTTCTCGTTTGTTATTTTGGTGTCATATGTAAAAAACTATTGCTAAATCGAAAACCATGAAGATTTAACCTTATGTTTTCCTCTAAGGGTTTTATAGTTCAGTTCTTACACCTAAGTATTTGGTCTATTTTGAGTTATTATTATTATTTTTTGTATATAGTGTGCGGAAGTATATTTTATAGGTGAGTATCCAATTTTTATGGCACTATTCTTTCCCTATTGAGTGGCCTTGGCACCCTTGCTGATCATCACTTGACCATAGATGCATAAGTTTACTTCTAGGCTCTCATTTTCTATTTCATTTATTTCTATGTCTATCTTTATGCCAGTACCACACTGATGTGATTACTATAACTTTGTAGTAAATTTTGAAAATAAAAATTGTGAGTCCTCCAACTTAGTTCTTGTTTTTCAAGATTGTTTTGGATATTCAGGGTTCCTTGAAGTTTCATATGAATTTTAAGATCCACTTTTCCTTTTCTGCAAAAAGACCATTTGATTTGAATAGGGATTGTATTGAATCTGTATATTTATTTGGGGAGCATTGCAGTCTTAACAATATTAAATCTTATAATCTATGAATATAATATATCTTTCTATTTATTTAGGTCTTCTTTAATCTCTTCCAGTAATGTTTTACAAATCCTATAATTACTGCTTTACTCTTTTAAATAATATTGTGAGGTGCCTGGCACACAAAGTTACTTCGAATCAGTTAAGTGAGTCTTACTTTTAAGCTTTTTTTTGTGAGGCAGTATGTACTGGGAATAATAATGAAAACTTTTTGCTGACTCTTCTCAATGTATATGTATTATAAGTTCTTTTTACAATATGATAAAATTTTGTATATTTTGTTGGATGTATTTTTTTAAGCTTCATTGTTGAAAGTTTTACAAATTTCTCCCCTTTTCCCCTGTTGACTCCCTCCACCCCACTCCTGCCCGATGTATCTTATGTGCTGTGTTGTTTTTTTAATTGTATCTAATGTAGAGTCGAAAATGTAGTATAATGGACAAATCATTGCTTTAAATGGCCAATTATTGATCCTGAATTGATTCATTTTATTTTTAAATATATATTTTTAATTGATTTTAGAGAGGAAGGGAGAGGGAGAAAGAGATAGAAACATCAATAATTAGAGATAATCATTGATTGGCAGCCTCCTGCACCCCACCTCCCCCTGGGGATCGAGCCTGAAACTAGGGCCTGTGCCCTGACCAGGAATCAAACCATGACCTCCTGATTCATAGGTCTATGTTCAACCACTGAACTACACTGGCGGGGCTGAATTGATTAATTTTAAAATTCCTAATTATGTGGCCCTGGCTGGTGTCTCAATTGCTTGGAGTGTCATTCTGTACACCAAAAGGTTGCGGGTTCGATTTCCAGTCAAGGCACATACCTAGGTTGTGAGTCTCTCTCTCTCTCTCTCTACCTCTCTCTCTCTCTCTCTCAAATCAATAAAAACATATCCTCAGATGAGATTTAAAAATAAAAAATAAAAAACTAAAATTCCTAATTATGTGTTTACTTGAAACTTTATGTGCTTTTGATCTGTACATTGGTATGTTATGTTAACATAGACAAGAGAAGAACATAGGCTCAAAAAATGTAGTGCTACTGGTTTTCAAAAACTAATCATAATTCAAAATTATCTTTGAAACTTCATTTTTATTTTTGTGTAAGGTTTTTCTGGATATTTTGTAGGAAGAACATGTTTATTTTAAAAAGTGGTATTTGAACAAATTTGTTTTCACCAAATGACATAATACTATTATCATTTCCCTTTTATATCTCTTTCCTGCTTAAACATGTACCCTAATATAAAATAAAAAGTTAGAGATATTAATTTTTGTAGTGGTGTAAAAAATTTCATGATTTCAATGAGGGTATGCTATCTTTAAAATCTTTTTTACTTTATTTATTTACTAGAGGCCTAGTGCACAAAATTCGTGCACTTGGGGGGGGTCCCTCAGCCCAGCCTGCACCCTCTCATTGTCCAGGAGCCCTCAGGGGATGTCTCACTGGGAGTGGGCCTAAGCCGGCAGTCAGACATCCCTAGTGCTGCCATGGAGGTGGGAGAGGCTCCCACCACCACCATTGTGCTTGCCAGCCGTGAGCCCAGCTTCTGTCTGAGCAGCACTTCCCCTGTGGGAGCGCATTGACCACCAGGGGGCAGCTCCTGTGTTGAGCAGGATTGGGCTGAAACTGGCTCTCTGACATCCCCTGAGGGGTTCCAGATTGCGAGAGGGTGCAGGCTAGGCCGAGGGACTCCACCGATGCACCATCAGGGCTGGAGAGGGACGCAGGAGTTTGGTCAGCTGGGGAGGGACCGTGGCAGGACTCCAGGGTGTGCCTGGCTCTTCTTACTCAGTCCCAATCGACCAGACACCAGCAGCAAGCTCACCTACCGGTTGGAGTGTCTGCCCCCTGGTGGTCAGTGCACGTCATAGTGAGCAGTTGAGCGGCCTTAGCATATCATTAGCATATTATGCTTTGATTGGTTGAACGGATGACCGGACGACCAGACACTTAGCATATTAGGCTTTTATTATATAGGATTACTCATTTTTTTCTTGGAATGCTTCACAAATTTGTGTGTCATCCTTGCACAGGGGCCATGCTAATCTTCTCTGTATCGTTCCAATTTTAATATATGTGCTGTGGAAGCAAGCAAAAAATCTTTTTTACTTTAAATATCTTTATCTGAGGATGAAAATATAGCAAATTGCTGGAAAGCAGTAATGGGGAGTTCATAGGTGACTTTTAAGTATGTTTTTCATTTTTTACTTCTTCAGAATTCAAATATCAGAATGACTTCAGATCTTAAGATACAAGAGTTTGATGCATTATAGAATTGTACCCCTGAAGCCTAGATAATTTTATTAACCAATATCAACCCAATAAATTTAATAAAAATAAATTTAAAAAGGAGAGAATATACATTTCTAAAAGTCAAAAGAAAAAGAAAAAAGTTTGTTGGTCTTAATCCTCTTTATTGCACATTCTATTAATCTTCTCTCTTACCTTATTTTTAGGAATATACAGTTTCTCAGCTATCATAGT